ATTTATAAATCAACCATCTTTAAGCATGGACTTCACTTTTCTTATGCATTAAAATTATTTTTGTTCACAGTACATTTTGCTTAACTTTGTTTACCTGTTGATGATTTTGAGTTTAATTCAGAACAGTTCCTACCAGTAAGTGAAACGATTTTGCTTATTTTTTTGTTTTAATTGTCATTTTTGAAATATATTAAATACTTTCTATGCTTTTTATAATCTAATTTACTCTGCTTCTTTAGTTTTTAAACATTCTTATTAAATTATTATAAAATTTGTTAGTGATTTTGTATGTCTTATATTGTTGAAATGTAACTTCTCAAACATCCAGATATTTATGCCATTTTATCTTGTATTGATGATAAAAGCATTCATTTTAAATAAGGATTGTTTGTATTAGCTTGATATACAGTACAGACAAAAGAAAAAAAATGAGTTTGCGTTTTCGCTGAGTCTTGTCACCTTTTTATTTATAGTATGAAAGATGCTATAAGGTAATTAAACTACTGAACATAATTATTCTTTATGAATTGGCATTTTTTTTTTCTGTTTAAAAATATATTTCATTTTAAAAATTTATTTTGAGTAAAAGAATTACGTCCAGGCAAATTAAAGATATAAACTTGTTTCACCTGAAAAGTTCCACCTGCAATATGTTTAGCCACTCCAACTCTAAGATGCCTGTTTCTGTTTAAAGAATTGTGTGCTGCCATCTATATTTAATTTTAAAATGTCACGTGATTAGTAAATGTTTTATGCAGTTTTGTTCGCTTTAAAATGTCGTACAAATAGGTATTGTGTTTGTCGTGTTAATATTTTGTGTATGTTTATATTTTGTGTTCGTCATTAAATTATGTCAGTTCTAAGCGGTCGTTAGTTTCAATTATTTAGTAACCATTTTTTGGTGTCAGTTAGCGGGATATATTAGCGAGCAATGAAATTTTGAGTTGTCGAATTGATGCTTCAGTGTTTAGTTCCAGAACGAGATTGATACTATGTTCTTGATACTAATGACGATAGTTCCAGTGTGAAGGTTAGTGTTATTTTCTTGATCTGATTTATTGTCAATGTATTAAAATGTCAGAAATTGAAAAATTAAAGGCTAAGCGTAAAGTTTTAAGAAATAAGGTCACCAAATTAATTACTAAAATTGAAACGTACCTCAATGAGTGTGATGATTTGGCTGATATAGATAAAACTAATGCTTTAAAAGAGTTTCGAGACCAATTAATTCACAAAGAAAGCAAGCTTATAAGTTTAAATAGCAAGGTTGAAGATTTGTGCGACATTAGTGAAATCGAAAATGAGGTTTCGATTTCAGATGAATATAATGAGAAAATTGTTCTATGGAAACAAAAGATTATAAATGTAATTGATAATTTGAGCGCAAAAGAAAAAGGAAATATTTCAGTTGATTTAAGTATGAGAGAAAGTAGAGAAAATACACCCCCTTTAGCTAGTTCAAGTAGTAACACGCAGTTAATAATAACTGTTAAACTTCCCAAGTTGTATATAAATAAATATTATGGAAACCCCACACATTGGTTAGAATTTTTTAATCAATTCGAAAGTGCTATACATAACAACAACAGTTTAAGCAAAGTAGATAAATTTAACTATTTAAAGTCTTATGTAGGTGGGATAGCAGCAAGTTGTATTAACGGTTTTGCTTTAACGGATGAAAACTACGATATTGCTCTAAAGCTTTTAAAGAATCGATTTGGTAATAAAAACTCGTTAATCCAAGCACATCTCAATCAATTGTTAAAATTACCTTTTATTAGAAATGTAAATGATTTAATTGGCTTAAGAAAATTATTTAATTGTGCTGAGTCACAAAAAAGAAATTTAGAGTCGTTAGGAATAGATACCGAAACTTATAGTAATTTATTAAGTCCTATTCTAATAGAAAGAATTTCGAGGGAAATTGTTTTAGAATTCAATCGAAATTATCCTGAAAATAATTGGGTATTTAAAGATTTGTTTTCATTTTTGGAAAAAGAAATAAGTTCTACAGAGAGGACACTTTCGATTTATAAATCTGATTCATGTGAGTATAACAATAGTTTTAGTAACGAAAATAAGAATTTTCGTAAGAAATCTGATTTTATTAAAAAAAGTAACTTTAATAGAAATGCGCAAAATGTATATCATGCAACAGTCGATAAAAAAAGTGCATTTTTTGCGACAGTAGTGAACACGAAGTTTGCGAATATCAAAACGTAATGGAAAGAAAAAATAAATTAAAAGAAGAAAATCGTTGTTTCCGTTGTTTTTCAAAACATCACATTGCTAGACTCTGCTAAACGAAATTGGAGCTGTGCATAAAATGTAACAGGCGAACTCATCATTATTTATTATACGAGGAGAATGATTCATCGGAAAATGCGGTTGTTCAATGCCACTCCTCCATAAAGAGAAATAGCGTCTTATTACAAACTTGCAGTGTAGTCGCATGTTTTGAAAAAAATAATAAATTAGTCCAAATTCTCTTTGATAATGGTTCGGAAAGAACCTGGATGACGCGAAGTTTAGCAAATGTACTGTGAGTGAAAATAATAAGAAAAGAAAACTTATCTGTTTATTCTTTTGGGTCCATAATAGCAAAACAAAAAACATACGGTGTAGCTCAAATAAAATTAAAGAATTGAAATGATCCTAACATTTTGTTGAAATTGAGGCGTTAGTTACAGATACAATTACAGCCGCACCTCTTTCAATTCCAGATACGCGAATACAGAATGATTTAATAGTGAAAGGTTTCGTTTTAGCTGACGCATGTTCGAATTTCAATCAAGGTTTGGATATTTTAATCGGGGCTGATTTATTTTGGGAGATTGTTGATAATTCTAAAGTAGAGAAAATAAATAAATCTTTATATTGTATTCCCACTATATTCGGTTATACGGTACAAGGAATTCAAGAAAAAAATAAAGAGAACTGTGCTACTTTGACAAATTTAAGTTCAGTTATGGATGTTCAGGTACTATGGGATTTAGAATTGTTAGGCATTCGAGAGGAAAATGAGATAGCTATTGAGGATAAACAAATTCGAAAATAATCTTAAGTTTGTTAATGGCAGGTACAAAACTTCATTATTATGGAAAAGGTCTCCTAAAGATCTTGCGCACAATTTTTGGATAACAAAAAAGAGATTCGATAATTTAAAAACTAATTTTGAGAAGAATGACTGGGTTGTGAGGGAATATGAACTTACGATACAAGAGCAACAAAACGAGGGAATAGTCGAGGAATGTACTGGAAATAATGAGGAATATTTTATGCCTCATAGAGTAGTTGTGCGAAATGATAAGGATACTACTAAAGTGCGAGTTGTTTTTAACTGTAGCTCACAAACTAAGCAAAATTTATCTTTAAATGATTAATTCGGAAGAATTGAAGTCTTTGTGGATTGAAAAGGGTTCTAGTGATGTTAGTGAGAGTTCTAGTGGTAGTTTGAAAGTTTTAGGTTTGAATTGGAACCCTATAGGAGATAATCTGTTGTTGGAAATTTCCCCGTTATTGAAAAGTTTAAATAATTCGGCAAATATGAAAAGGTTTGTGTTACACGCTGCTGCAATGGTGTTCGATCCAGTTGGTATTGTTAGTCCTTTTGTTCTTAAGATCAAGTGTCTGTTGCAAGAGATATGGAAAAGAGGTTTAGATTGGGACGAAGAGTTGTCAGTAGATTTAAAAATTAAATGGACTGAATGGTGTGTAGAAGTTAAACATTTAAAAGACATAGTCATTCCAAGGTATTGTTTTTTGTCATGCGGAAATCCAGGAAGTCGAAGAGTAGAGGTACACATATTTTGTGATGCGTCACTCGTTGCATATGGGACGGTTTCCTATGTTCGGTATATCAATGATGAAGGGGAAATCATAGTGTCATTTTTGATGTCCAAGAGTCGTGTTTCCCCCTTGAAAAAGTTAACTTTGTCACATTTAGAATTGATGGCGACAGTTATAGGAGCTAGACTAGGTAATTATATTAATAGTATTTTTGGGGAAATGGTTTCTGAATATATATATTGGATGGACTCATTCTCATTGTTTTACATTGGATCAGGGGAAGGGCTGAACGATGGAAGCAATTTGTTTGCAATAGGGTCCGTGAAGTGCAGGAGAAGTCAAATCCAAAATCTTGGCATCATTGCAAAGATATCGATAATCCTGCTGATTTGCTGACACGTGGATGCAATGCAAGCTAATTGAAAGAAGGAGATAAATGGTTCCATGGCCCTTAATGGCTGAGACTTGAAGAATCAGAATGGAATAATGATGAAGGTTTCAGCTCTTTGAATAGCGAAAACTTGGACAATGAAATTCGTATTGAGAAATGAAACAAGCCCGTGAACATCAACATGAATGTTTGCAAGGAAGAAAACCAGCCTGATATTATGAACCTCATAAATAAAATTTCCTCATGGACTAAA